CCAAATCTCTTGATATTGTATAGTGGATAGAAACCTGAAACTGGAGTCAGAAAGACTTGAATTCAAACCCAACCTTGGACACTTACTAGCTGTGTGACTCTTGGCAAGTCACTTATGTCTGCCCCATCTGTTAAATGGGAATAATATTAACAGCTACCTCCCTGGGTTGTTATGAAATAATACTTGTAAAGCAGTTTGCAAACTTAAAAATGCTAGCAATGATAATGATGTTGACAATGATATTTGGCTCTAAAGGAGAGATCTAGGAGATCTGGGTGTAAGTTACAGAGGCAGATTTCTATTTAAAATCAAGTGATAGGATCTAAGACATAGAATTGGAAGGTACCTTAGAGGTCACCTAGTCATTTCCCTTATCTTACTTACAATAATGACCTGAGGCAGAGGTAGGTTAAGTAATGTGCCCAAGGGCACATAGGGAATAAATGGAAGAGCCAGGTTCTTAATCCAGGTTCTTTAACTCCAAATCTGAAGCTCCTTCCATGGAATTTTACTGCTCAATAGTGAAACTAGCTATCTCAGGAAGTCATGGATTATTACTTCTGACTGAAGATATTCAAGCAGGCCAGATGAACTCTTTTTTAGGTATGTTGTTCCTGTTTAAGAACTTATTGGATTGCATCCCTGAGGTCACTTCCAACTCTGAGAAACAGAGTTGTACAATGTAAAGAATCAGAAGATCTGGGTTCAAATTCAGTCTCATTGTGTGACCTTGGACAAATCACTTAATCTCGGGGGGGGGTGGGCCGCAGCCAAAATGGCAGAGTAAAAGCAGTGACTTGCTTGAGCTCTCCCCCAAATCCCTCCAAATACCTATAAAAATGGCTATAAACAAATTCTAAAGCAGCAGAACCCACAAAAAGATAGAGTGAAACAAATTTACAGCCCAAGACAATCTGGATGGTTGATCAGAAAGGTATATTGGGCTGAGCAGGTAGAGGAAGTCAGTTGGGTGTGGCACAGAGGCAAGGCAGGCCTCAGTGAACCTGGAGCAGGTCTCAGAGGACTGAATTGCAGGCAGTTGTGGCAGTTTCCAGATTTCTCAACCCATGAATGCCAAAAACAACTTAGAAGGTCAGTAGGAAAAGTCTTTGCGTGTCTTTGGTGAGAGAGAAAACCAAGGTCCAAGCCCCAATCCCCAAGTGTGGCCCCAGGGTGGTGGCTACCTCTGGAGCTTCTGGCCCACAGACTGAAGGGGAATCCAGTGGCTGATCAGAGGGGGACTGCAGGGTCTCTTTGCTGGTGCAGGATTCTCTTGCTTTGCCATGCTTGAATCTGGGTCACAGTTCTGGGTGGCAGTCCTGGGGTGAGAAGGAGTGCTGGCGTGGTGGAGCTTGTAGTGGCTGTAGAGAGAGAATCCTTCTCACAGTTCCAAGACAGAAAAGAGTGCCTGTGGTCACTCATAGACCATAGCACAGGCCAGGAAAGGAGTAAACACCTCCCCCTTAATCATAGCATCATGGAAGAATTGAAAATTTACAGGTCCCTAGAAGTATCTCTGAAAACAGCTGCTCAAAACCCCCAAAGCTTGGGACAGTACATTCTGCACACTGGAAGCAGACCGCTACCTTAACAAAGAGTTTATAACTCAAGTAATTGGCTGGGATCATGAGCAAGCCTCACAAAAAAGAGTCAGACCATAGAATCTTACCTTGGTGACAAAGAAGATGAAAACATACAACCAGAAAAAGACAACAAAGTCAAAGCTCCTACATCCAAAGCCTCCAAGAAAAATATGAATTGGTCCCAGGCTATGGAAGAGCTCAAAAAGGATTTTGAGAAGCAAGCAAGAGAAGTAGAGGAAAAAACTGAGAGTGATGCAAGAAAATCATGAAAAACAAGTCAACAGCTTGCTAAAGGAGACCCAAAAAAATACTGAAGAAAATAATAGCTTAAAAAATAGCTAACCAAATGGCAAAAGAGGTCAAAAAGCAATGAGGAGAAGAATGCCTAAAAAGCAAAATTGGCCAATGGAAAAGAAGTCCAAAACTCATTGAAGAAAATAATTCCTTAAAAATTAGAATGCAGCAATTGGAGCTAGTGACTTTATGAGAAATCAAGACACTGTAAAAATCCAAGAAGAAAATAGAAAACAATGTGAATATCTCATTGGAAAAACAACTGACCTGGAAAAAGATCCAGGAGAGAGAATTTAAAAATTATTGGACTATCTGAAAGCTATGATCAAAAAGAGCTAGAATAATCTTTCAAGAAATTTCAGGAAAACTGCCCTGATATTTTAGAACCAGAGGGTAAAATAGAAATGGAAGAATCCACCAATTCCTCCGAAGAGATCCCAAAGGAAAGCTCTTAGGAATATTGTAGCCAAATTCCAGAGTTCCCAGGTCAAGGAGAAAATATTACAAGCTGCCAGAAAGAGACAATTCAAGTATTGTGGAAACACAATCAAGATAACACTAGACTTAGCAGCTTCTACATTAAGGGACCACAGGGCATGGAATATAATATACCGGAGGGCAAAGGAGATAGGATTACAACCAAGAATCACCTACCCAGCAAAACTGAGTATAATCCTTCAGGGGAAAAAATGGTCATTCAGTGAAATAGAGGACTTTCAAGCATTCTTGATGAAAAGACCAGAGCTGAATAGAAAATTTGACTTTCAAATACAGACTCAAGTGGAACATGAAGAGGTGAACAGGAAAGAGAAATCATAACAGACTTTTAAAGGTTGAACTGTTTACATTCCTGCATGGAAACAATATTTGTAACTCATGAGTCCTTTGTCAATATTAGGGTAGTTGGAGAAAAAATTATATATATGTATATATAAATAGATGTAGATAGATAGATCGATAGAGGGCACAGGGTGAGTTGAAGATGAAGGGTGATATTTGGAAGAATAAAATTAAGGAGTGAGAGAGGATTATACTGGGAGAAGGAGAAAGAGAGAGGTAGAATGGGGTAAATTATCTCAAAAACAGACAAGAAAAGGCTTTTACAGTGGAGGGGAAAGGGGAAGGTGAGAGGGAATGAGTGAATCTTATTCTCATAGGATTTGGCTTAAGGAGGAATAACATACACACTCAATTGGGTATGGAAATCTCTTACCCTACAGGAAAATAGGGAGAAGGGGACAAGAGAGCAGGGGATGATAGAGAGGAGGGCAGATTGGGAGGGGTAATCAGAAGCACACATTTCTGAGGAGGGACAGAGAATAGAATAAATGGGAGGCAGGATAGGATGAAGGGAAATATACTTAGTTTTTCACAACATGATTACTATGGAAGTGTTTTGCATGACTACACATGTATAACCTGTATAGAGTTGCTTGCCTTTTCAATGAGGGTGGGTGAGGAGTGAGGAAGGGAGAAAATTTGGAACCCGAAGTTTTAAAAACACATGTTGAAAAAAACTGTTTTCACATGCAACTGGGAAATAAGAAATAGAAGAAATGGGGTATAGATATCTATCCTGCCCTGTAGGAAAATAGAATGGGAAGGGGATAAGAGAAGGGGGGAAAGATAGGAGGGAGGGCAGATTAGGGGAAGGGGTATACAGAATGCATGCCATCTTGGGGTGGGGGGAGGGGCGAGTTGGGGAGAAAATTTTGAACTCAAAATCTTGGGGAAGTGAATGTTGAAAACTAAAAATAAGTTAAAAAAAATTTTAAAACTCACTTAATCTCTCTGGTCTTCAGTCTTCTCATCTGTAAAATTGAGAGAGCAGGTCTAAATGTCCTCTGAGGTACCACCTGTGGGGAAGGAAAGCCAGTCTAGCTGAAGCAGCAAGGTACCCTAAGATAGAGACAGGAGGTGGTATGTACCAGGCAAGCCAACCCACTGCCAGCATCTTGACCACAACTTATATAACACTTACATAATTAGCCCAGAACCCTGAACCTAAGAGCCTTGGGAATAGCATTGCTCAGAAGACCACTGGCCTGGCTTCCAAAGCCATCATTTAGAGGAGCAATCATTATGGAGAAAGGGCCCAATTTCCTTGCTTATCACCTGCACCAACTCTTGACCTACTGCAACCATAGCCAGGTAAAGGCAAGGAATGGCAGCAATCTCCAACCCCCAGACCACTGGTCCTGTTTCTAACCTAGTTTCTGAAGCTATCATCCCAGGAAGCAATTTTTGCAGAGATGTGATCTGGCATCTACTATTGGAGAGGTGGGGTGCAGGAACCCCTGCTTCTTCATTAGTTACAACTCCTGAAGATCTGGAAAATAAAATTCTCACCACCAAAGTCCTTCCCATTGTCAAATGCCAAATCCACATAGGATTATCAATAGAATTACTCTACGGACTGTCTGACTTGCAGATGGAACCAATATGTGTTCATTCTGTATCTGAATATTACCTCCTTGAGAATAGGAAGTGTCCTGTTTTTCTATTTGTATTTCCACTGTTTAGAACAGTACATACTAAGTTAGTGCTTGATACATACTACTCATTCATTCTTTCATAAATCTAGGATCCTATGATTCTGACCCTGAACATTCCTGTCTGACTCTTCATGAGTCTTTGAGGTTTTCTTGACAAAGATGTAGAGTGGTTTGCCATTTTCTTCTTCGAAGAAACTGAGGCAAATAGGGTTAAATAATTTACCCAGATTCATACAGATAGTAAGTGTCTGAGGCTGCATTTGAACTCAGGTCTTCCAGACTCCAGGCATGATGCTCTTTCCACTAAGCCACCCAGCTGACCCTGACTGCCCAACTTAAAAGACACAGATTTTACTACCAGTACTCTTCTTTCAAACTACGTGTGGACCATATCGGCCTATCGCTAATTTTTCTTCTCAAAGGAAGGAAATATATTCCCAAAGCAGAGAGCTCAGAGGACAGAAATCAGCCGGCTGGGCATCGCCACCAAGAACAAGGACGCAGCGGACAGAGCCGGGCGGGGCCATGGCAGCAGCCGCTGACAGGAGGGGGCGGGGCCACAGCAGCAGCTACGGACACCGGAGGGGGCGGGCCTGGGAAGCGAGGTCGCGCAAGGGGCGGGGCCGGCCGGCAGGGGGCGGGGCGGAGCACGGCGGGCCTGGCCGGGCAGCGATGGCGGCTGACGGGGACTGGCAGGATTTCTATGAGTTCCAGGAGCCGGCCCGGGGCCGCCTGGACCAGCAGAACCGTAACGCCGGGGCCAGGGCGCTTGACGACGAGGGAGGCGTCGGCTTCTCGGCGCTGGCGTGCGGCCTGGAGGAGAAGCTGAGCTTATGTTTCCGCCCCTCCAGTCCGGATGCCGAGGCTCCGAGGGCGGCGGTGAGGCCAATCACGGAGCGAAGCCTCCTGCAGGAGGATGAGTGAGTGCAGCCGGGGTCGGGCTCGAGGAACCGGCGGACAGGCGCCTCTCCCTCCTCCCCGTTCCCCGGCCTAGGCCTCTGTCCGCCGCGCAGTGTCCGGCTCTCCCACACCCTCTGCTGCTCCCCAAGTGAGAGACTTGCATCCCATTCCTCCCACTCCCCCCTCCCATCGAGTCCCCGCCTTTTCTCCCCTCCCAGACCGTGTCCTCCTCCCTCCCAGACCACGCCTTCTTCCCCCTCCCCTCCCAGACCACGTCTTCTTCCCCCCTCCCTTCCCAGCCCACGCCTTCCCCAAGCCCCATCTACCTCCTGAGGGCGCCCCACCCCCTCACCCCTCCTGCCCAGGAAGGCCCCGGGGTCAGAATCTTTTCTCTATGGGACCTCCAATCTCCTGCCCTTTCCTTCTCTTGAACCTCTGACATTCTCTTTCTGTGTGTTTTTTGGATACTGAAATCCCTGCTCTTCCCAATGCTAAATATCAAGGGTTCATGATAAAAGGGACTTGGTAGGAATGCTTTAATAGAGTTATATGTAGACATATCAAATATTTGTATCTCTTGAAGGAATCAGGGACTTAATTGATTTGAGTGTCTGGATATATAGGTATGTGTTTTTGTTGTTCAGCTGTTTTCTCTTTGACTCTTCCTGACCCCTTTTGGGGGTTTTAGCACATTTTACAAATGAGGAAACTGAGGCAAACAGTGTTAAGTGACCTGCCCAGGGTCACACAACTAGTTAGTGTCTGAGGCTGGATTTGAATTTAGGAATATGAGTTAAGAAGGATGAGGATTGAGGAAAAAAAACATTTATATTTGGCAGTTAAGACATTGTTAAATAATTTTGAAGAAAGCAATTTTGGTTGAATGATAAAGTTGAAAGCCAGACTGTAGAGAGTTAAGAGGAGAGTGAGAAGAAAAATTGCAAGTGTGATGTGGACAGCCTTCTCATGGAGTATAGCAACAAAAAGGAGGAGAGGTACCGGATAGCTAACAAGAATGATGGATCAGTTGAAGGGCTTTTGAGGATGGGGCAGACATAGGCATGCTTATAGACAGTATGGAAACAGCCGGTGTACAGGGAAGGATTGAAGAGAAGCAAGAGAGTAAGAATGATAGAGGGGACAATCTGCTGGAGAAGATGAGATGGAATAGGATCACTTGTGCATGTAGAGGGGTTTGCTTTGGCAAGGAGAAGGGCCATCTATTATGTAAGATAGGAGTGAAGGCAGAGAGAGTGGCAGAAATGAAGTGGGTGATGTGAGAAGACAGGAAAAGAGGGAGCTCTCAGTAAGTGGTTTCAAATTTTTCAGTGAAATATGAGTTCTCATCTGGGGGGGTCTGGGAGAGGGAGGTTTGAGAAGGGATGAAAAGGTTTGGAAAAACCACTGTGGTGAATGGGATAGTGAGTCAATTAGGGAGGTATAAAAGCAGTGCATTGTAGCAGTGAGGGCCCCGTTAAGTTTATGTATCATAAATTTGACATGAACCCAGTTAGCATGGTTTTATGATTTTTTTCAACTTCATTTGTGAGTAGTAAAAATGGGAGTGATAGTAGGAACAATGGGTGGTGGGAGTAATCCAAGCTAAGACTTGGCTATGCAATAACAGTAATAGGATAAAGGGGCAAGGTACTGCAAAGAAAAGGACAGTGTATAGCTGAAGTGGTTCACCAAAGGGTTTAGGTTGGGAAAGGATGAGAGTGTAGTCGGTGCAGAAGTGATGGCCTGGGAAAGAACTGAGGCTTATGTGATTAGTGCTTATGGTGAGAACAAAGAACAGGGTTTGGGTTTGAGGGCACATTGATAGATGTTTTATGTTGAAGTACCAAAATATATACGTGGTAAATGAAAATATATTGAAACTATTAAGTTCTTATCACGTACCAGGTGTGCAAAGCTTTTGGAAGAGATAGAGAGGGAGGGGGAAAGAAACACACAGAGAGAGAGAGAGAGAGAGAGAGAGAGAGAGAGAGAGAGAGAGAGAGAGAGAGAGAGAGAGAGAGAGACTGACTATTGATTTCATTACTGCCCCCAGAGCAAGAGGCAGAAAGTAGGGGGTAGGGACAGGAAATGATAGCAGGAAGATGGACAAGTGGTTAGGTGGGTTATGAAGGTGGATATGATCTAGTGTCTGTCCTAGTTAGTTAGAGTGGGCTAGTTTGTATTCACTCAGTCACTAAACAAGATCATTGAGCCCCAGGGCAAGAGTTCCTAAGATAAGTAAATTTCCCCACTGGGATCATGGTTTCTAAAAATCTGGGGTAGGGAAGTTCAGTTATTTTTGAATGATGCTAGGCCAGCTGGACAGAATCAGGGTAGCTATCATTAACAGGCAGATGGCCAGATGGCTGGCTGGATGTAAAGAGTATGTAGTGTGTGTGTGTGTATATGCACGCTTGCTTGCTTGCTTACATTTCTATACATACACAACCAGCAAAAGTTGAGATTTCAACATCTACCATTGCTACTACCCAAGGGAAAGTATTTCTTCTCTCTCCACTTTTATATTCTTGTAAAAACTTTTCTGTAAATTTTTGAAAGTGGTATTTATGTATATTGGGATTATGAATGAGAGGATTGCTCCAAAGTAGTTAGTAGGGTTATCATAGAGTGTGGATATGCAGCTGGAGTAGTAGAAAGAGCATTGAATTTGGAGTCAGTGACCTGGGTTTTGAATTCTGGTTTTACCTCTTATTAATTGTGTAACCCCAAGAACTTATGGCACAACTTCTCTGGATCTTGGTTTCCTCAGCTTGGTAATGAAGGAGTTGTACTCTATAACTTCTCATTTCCTTCTGGCTCTAAGTCTTTGATCCTGTAACCCATATAGTTTGGTTACATCTGTGCATAATATCCTTCCAGAACAAAATTTATATCTCTCCCACCCACATAACTACTACCCCTACTTCAGGCTCTTATTACCTCTTCCCTGGACTGTTATAATGACCTCTTATTCATTTCCCCCTGCTTCCAGTCTGTATTTCTCTCTGATTTATCCATCACATAGTTACCAAATTAGTATTTCTAATACACAGTCTTACTGTATTTCTACCTTGATCAACTTGTGCCCTATTGGCACTAGGATTAAATGCAAATTCAGCATCTCAAGCTTTGCACAACCTGGTTCCCACCTACCTTTCTAGAATTATTTCGTATCACTTCACTTTATGTTCCAGCCAAACAGGTCTATTATCTGTTCACTGAATTCATTGTTTTAGCTTTCATCTCTATGGACATCTCTGGCTACTATGTCTGGAATGTTGTTCTTCTGTCTCTGTCCTCCTTCCTCCACCCCCAAATGGCCCAGAAGTTGATGTTTTCTAATTCATGAAATTACCTTGTACTTATCTATGGATACTTTGTACCTTCCAGTAAACTATAAACTCTTATGATAGATATGGTTTCATTTTGGTTTTTGTATCCCCAGGGCCTACTACAGGGCGTGGCATATAGTAGGTACTTAAAAAATGTTTATTGAATGTCTGTTGAGTGATAATAAAATTTTTTTCCTCTATAGCTAATCTGAATCATTTCAATTCCAATTGTATTATTCTTAGCAGAGATAGAAGAGTTGTCATTATTCTGTCACATATTTGGAAGATTAAATTTACCTTTGGTTGTCTTTATAGGCAAACTGTTCCAATTCCTTTTTTCTCCTCATAGTCCCTAATTTTGGACTCTGGACCTTTTCCAAATATTAGTCATATCATTTTAATAAATCTTTGGCCAGTGCTAAATTATGCTTCACTCTGGGGATTACTGAAAAATCTTTAGGGAATATGTTAGACAGCTAGCCAGCTGAAAAATTAAAAGGGCTATGACATCTCTTTGAGGCGTGGTCTCAGAGAGCTGAAGAAAAGAAGGAATGGAGAGAATAGGAAGGGAAATGTGTGGGGAAGATACTCATTTGTATAATTCTTACTATGTCAAAGTACATTCCAAAGCCAGGTGTTATTTGGAATTAGCTGCATTTTGGGTTATTCGTTAAACTTTCCCCTCTGTTGACATATTGTATTGACATAATGCTCATTGTAGTAATACTACTTTTCATTACCTTTAATTCCTTACTCTCATTTTTATATCTTATTAGCAGGATTGCTCTTGAGTATATGTGTGTGTATGTGTGTGTGTGTATACACACACACATATATGTATATATGTATATGTGTGTATATACCCAACTGAATGCAGAATTCCAGAGAATAGCAAGGAAAAAAATTTTCTTGAATAAGCAGTGCAAAGAAATGGAGGAAAACAACAGAATGGGAAAGACAAGAGATTTCTTCAAGAAAATTAGAGATATCAAGGGAATATTTTATGTATAAATGGGCATGATAAAAGATAAAAATGGTGGGGACTTAACAGAAGCAGAAGAGATTAAGAAGTGACAAGATACCCACAAAAAACTCCCTTTACAATAAAGATCTTAACATCACTGATAACCATGATGGTATGGTTACTGATCTAGAACCAGACATCCTGGAGAATGAAGTCAAGTGGGCTTTAGAAAGCATTGCTAACAGTAAGGCAAGTGGAGGTGACAGAATTCTACCTGAGCTATTTGAAATCCTAAAAGGTGATGCTATTAAAGTGTTGTGCTCATTATGCCAGCGAATCTGGATAACTAACAGTGGCCACTGGATTGGAAAAGATTAGTTTACATCCCAATACTAAAGAAGGGCAATACCAACAAATGTTCAAATTACCAAATAATTGCATTCATTTTATACACCAGCAAGATTATGCTTAAGATTTTGCAAGCTAAGCTTTAGCAATATGTGAACTGAGAATTACCAGAAGAGCAGGCTGGTTTTTGAAGAGGCAGAGGGGCTAGAGACCAAATTGGGAACATTCACTGGATTATGGAGAAAGCAAAGGAGTTCCAGAAAAACATCTACTTCTGCTTCATTGACTACACTTTTTAAAGTCTTGGACGTGTGGATCACAACAAAATGTGGCAAGTCCTCAAAGAGATGGGAGTACCAGATCATCTTACTTGTTT